CCCGGGTGTGCGGGCCGAGCCGCGGCCCGGCCATGCGGCCGCCCAGGGGCCCTGCGAGCCCCGCATCCCCGGCGGCCTGCAGCGACCTCCGCTAACCCCCGTTGTAACTGAGGCTCCCCGTTACTCCTGGGAGCCCTCCASTGACCCCCATCTCCCCTCCAGTGACCCCTCTGCCACCCCCAAGACACTTYGGGGCCCTCCATAGCCCCTGGGACTCCCATCACCGCTTCTGGTGACCCCCTGTGATCCACATGACCTCCCATTAGTTCCTGTGACCCCTTTCACCTGTCCTGTGACCCCTCCAGGCTCCTCCATGACACTCTCATTACTCCCCATAACCTCCCATGACCCCCTGAGCTCCCATGGTACCCTCCAGTACTCCCCAAAACCTCCTTGTGACCCCCCCATAATCCCCTCCCATGACCCTGTTGTGGTCCCCCCATCTCTGTGCAACCCCACACCCCACTGTCACCCAAGCCCCTACTGACCTCCCACATCCCCCCATCTCCTGCAGGGCCCACGATGGGACAGAGAAGATGTTCCACCATGGCCTGGTGGAGGGGGCCGTGGTGTGGGGGACGGCCGGCTCCTTGGGACAGCAGCCTCCGCCAGGGTCGCGGGTGCCCCCCAGGGYTGCCCTCCATGGGTGCCCCTGGTCCTTGGGTGTCCCCGCAGGCCCAATTCAGGGAGAGCAGTTTCCTCACTAAGAACCTGGACGCTGGGTGCCAGGCAGAGAGGTCTTGGTGTCTGTTCCCACCCCTGTGACGTGGCTTGGAGACCTCACCTGATCCTGATCGGAGACTGTACAGCAGTACATCAGCCAGCACCCAGCTGAGGAGCTGGCCAGGACCTGCAAGGATCACCTGGACAAAGGGGCACCCCGGGCGCTACCTGTCCCTCGCGGTGCTCCTGGGGTGCTCCCCACTTTCTCTCTGCGTTCTTCGGTATGCTCAGGAGCAGATCCGAGGGAGCGGCAGGGCCACCAGCCCTCCCAGATACAGAAATCATTTACCCCTAGGGAGGTGCCACCCCAGCACCAGGAAAGGGCAGGAGGCCACAGCTCAGCAGAGGTGACCCRGCAGCCCCAATGGGGTGGGAGGACCCAGAAGGAAAAAGTAAGGACTCGAGAGCATCACCTAGACCCTCCTGGAGCCACCCCCCTGCCCTGCCCTGCACCTCTGCAGGCTCCAGATGGACATGCTGGGTCATTAGTCACATCAAGACATTTACTGCTTGGCCACGGCTGCGGCTCTGTGGGCACCGCGCTGGGGCTGCTCCCAGTGCCCTCCTGCCCAGTCTGGGCTCCCACGCTCAGTGCAGGCAGCTCATCCTCTGCCCCACGTCAGTTTGACGAATGCAGAAACTCCTCGTCCTCTGCAAGAAGAGAAGTGTGTGGTGTGAAGGCCAGACCCTTGTACTGGGAGCAGGTTCATCCAGGAGTGGCCATGATTGACCACCCCCGAGCTCAGCCCTCTCAGCAGTCAGGTATCACTGCAACACTCAGGAAAACGTGACCGCTCAGCCACTCATCCTGAGGAAYGAACAGTGTCCTCCAGTGGGCCCTGGAGGATTATGTCTCCCCAGGAGGGCACAGGTGGAGGGGTTCAAGGTATGAAGTGGCCCAGGCATGCTGACACTGGGGCAGAGAGCCACTGGGCACATTGGCTGGGCCGAGGTGGGCTCAGGAGGGCAAGGGGACACACTGACATCCCCCAGCAGGAGCAACCAACCTGGCCATGCTTCCTAGTGCTTCGCTCTGCCACCCCTCAAAAGGCTCTCAGGTAGAAGCTCATGTGTGGACTAGAGTGGAAGGAGTCAGCAGGCATCGTATGGAGAGTTCACCCCATGATGGGATTCCAGTTCAGTGCTCATTTGTTGTGAGGGTCCCTCCATCCCTGCCAAATCTTTTTGCTCTTCCTTCCCTGTGCTAGGTGTTCCCTGCACCRAGGCTGTCACTTCATGGCTACCAACCACGCAGAAGCCTGCCAAGAGCCCCTTCAGCAAGATATTTTGAAGACCAATTCTGGTCTCAACAAGGCTGCAGCCTCTGTAGCTACCCCACTTGATACTGAAGAATGATTGTGTTCCTCAATCCATCAGATTTGCAGACCCAGGGTGGAGTCACACATGATCCAGCACAAACTCATCCCAGACCCATCCTGGACTGAGGACAGACCCATCCTAGACTCAGGACAGATATGTCCCAGATCCACCCCAGATTCAGAACAAACCTCTCCTGTACCCGGGAAAGACCCCATGCATCTCAGACCCAGGAGAGACCACAGACCTGTTCCAGCCCTGTGACTGACCTGTCTCAGACCCAGGCAGGCCCAGTACCACCATGCCCAGCACAGAGCATGACCAGAGGTGCAATCAGCAGCTCCCCTGACTGCTGCTCCTGTTTCCTGCGAGCCCGGCAGCAATGGATTGGAGGGAGGGATGGTGCTGCGTGGGCAGGATGGGCCCTACCTCCAAGCAGGGGAGCTCCGCAGTACTCCTTGCACTCTTTCTCCGAGTAGAACTGGTTCCCGTTGCCCTTGCAGCCTCCATAGTTAAAGGTGATGCACTTGCCCTGGGCCGCGTCGAAGGCCCAGCGTATCACCGGCTTCTGGCAGGGACCCTTGACAATGGGCAGCCTGCAGGCAGCTGTGGGAACACAGGAACTCTGAGGGCCCAGGGACACAGCGCCAGGGTGCTGTGCCCACCAGCACCTCCCTCGCGGGTGCTGGGCACGGCCACTTGCAAATCCCCCCAATTCCTTTTACTGCCTCTGCAAAGGCACTTCCTGCACCCTCTCTCCATAAAGTCCTCAGCCCGTCAGGATGTCCTCCATGCTCYTTCACCATCCTCCCTCCAGGCAGGCTATGTTCCCCAGAGCCCCAGTGCCCTGTGGCCAGCCAGGGGTCAGGCACGTGCCACCGCACTGTCCCCCTCACCCTCTGTCCTGCAAGCCTGCAGGCACTCCTTCTCCGAGTAGAAGTTGTTGCCATTGCCCAGGCAGCCGCCGTAGAGGAAGGTTTCACAGGCCATGGAGGAGGAGTTGTAGAAGAAGCGAGTGAGCATCCCACTGCAAGGGCCAGCATCTCTGCTCAGCCTGCAGGAATCTGTGTAGGAGCAGGACATGGGTTGTTGCAGGGAAGCGAGGCAGCTACTAAGCAATAACATGCAATAATGCATAATAAGCAATAACATGGGGCAAGAGGGAAAGATGTCCCCCTTTCCCCAGGGCATACCTTCCTTATTGCCGAGGTAAGGGGGCARGGGGCCTGCAGCTGAGCCCTCCTCAGGCGGCAGGACTGCTCTCCGCACCCTCTGCGCAAGGAAGGAAGCACAAGTCAGTGGCTTCTCTATACACCTACCAGCCCAGTGCTCACCTGAGACGGGGGGCAGATGCTTGCAAATCAGATAAAGGTACCCACAGCACCACAGTCATGCCCTGGGCTGGCCTGGAAACATATCTCTGCACTGGCTCTCACTGATACAGGATAGTTTACCCTCCGTATATTTGCTATATCTGGAGCTACAGATGCTCCTTCAAATAATTGCTCTCAGGAGCATAAAAATATTTGCTCTCAGGACAAGTAGGCTCTTTCTCTCCTATCCCTCTTCAAAATCCTTCTAAACTCAACTCTGTGAGATAGCTACATGTCAGGTCATTCTAGCCAAGGGATTGATGTGAGTATTGAAGTGTGAAGAGTGTCATACTCCTGGCTGTGAGGCAGGCAATAGGATGTGGACTTCCATCCTCCTTGTTTCTTAGGGCAGTGCCCAGCCTGAGGCTATGTCAGAGTCCAGTGTGGGTTCTTTGCCATACCCTGATTGCCRGCCTCTCACCAGGAGGCCAGGGACTCTGTCGGCCAGATCCCAGCCAACAAGAGGCTGATGTGGGTTAGGCATGCAGCTGCTTTCCCCACCCTGGAAGTGATCTCCAACTAAGGAAATATCGGGCTCCAGAGGCAATAACTTTTGTCCCATGTAAYGCTAGACAAAAAATCAGAGTGAAAAAAAAAATTGCTTTTCATTTGCAAGTGAACCCTGGAGCCCACCTGACCAGAATCCTTGTCACTTCATTCTGCTCCTGCCTGACCCCATCCTTGCAGACACCAGCAGAAGTGAAAGAGCATCTCCCAGGGTACTTTGTGGAGATGCTGCGTGTGGAGTGTGCCTCGTACACAGAGTCTGCTCCCATGACACCATGTTTCTAGTGGTTTGGCCTGGAAAGCAAGCCTTGATCTTTCTTAAGAGTTCCCAGCTAAACCACTCACCTCAGGTGCAGCTTCAGTCTCCTGGGGGATGCATTCACCTGGGCCAGATGATGGGAAATAAAATCAGCAGCTTAAAAAGGATAATTCCTCAACAAAATCATCTCACCATGACTTGGTACTATGCAAATACAAATCCCTGAAAAAGTGATTCCCTTCCAGCTTGCCCCTGACATTCYTCCACCCTTGCTGCTTTCCACTCCTTGAAGGACTCCAACTTGTTCCCACACACAGAAGGGAGCACAGGCTTACCTTTATTAGCCAGGATGAAGATGGAGTCCTCAGGGATGCCCATCTCCAGAGCCAGCTGCTGGAAAGCCTCAATTAGGTCCTCCCTCAACTCTGGGTTCCTCCCTGGGAAAGGACAGGGAAATAGGCTGTGAGCCTAAATAGGCTAAGGACAGTATCTCCTGCCACTTCCAGATCTGTGTTTCCTTCAAGCAGATTTTGACACATTTATCCCAAATGACAACCTGGTTTGGACATTGAAAGTGTGGTGTGGCTCTAAGCTGAGCCATGAAACTCATCCTCTTCCACACCAAAGATGAGCTTGACCTAAGGAACCACTTTCAAAACTGTGGTCAGGTTCCTCAAGGCCAAGTGAAGGACAGTGTTAGCCCGCCCAAGACTCTGTTTGCCCAGAAAGTGCGAGAGCTATACATACCATACAGTTTCAGTGTAGTGGTTGGACCAAAACTACTTTTCTTCTTCATCAGAATGACAGCATATTCTTCATAGTTGGTGCGAAGCACRTAGGACTTGATGGACACATCCCATTCTGCGTAAGAAAGAGATGCACAGGACATCATTCCTGGCTTGTCAATGTGTGTGATGGTGGAGTATGGAGGTGGAAGGGGCCCAGATGAGAGACAGTGACACTAGGCTGGGGAATGCTCCAGGTACACAGCCCATTCCACCCACAGGGCYTGATGCTGAGCATCTCTGTTGGGGAGAAAACAAAGGGGAGATAAGACAGCCCAGAGCTGCGGGCTGAAATCAGGCACCTAATTCGAGAAATGATCTGGTTGTTGGGAAACAGCCATTGGCCCCTAGGCAACCTTGACTCCCTTTGGGCTCACTCTTTTTTTACTTAAAGGATTCCAAAATGACAATTTGCAGACAGTTCAGATATTACCCACACTCCTGAAACACAGCTAGTGGGAGCCTGCCCTGGGACCTTGGAGAAGGAGGAGCTCTGCACAGGTATTCCAGCCTTGTGCCCATGTAGGGGCAGCTCTGGACCTTGCAGCTCCCAGGACCTTGCTCCCTGCTTTACCTGGAAACATCCCAGATCACAGAGTGGTTTCCCCTTCCTTGGGAGTCCTGCTCCCTTTCCCAACCACCAACTGTGTGTAAGAGCTGGTATGGCTCGCATGGCCTGACTGCTACAGCTTTCAGGGCAAGCACATCAGCAGGCAGTGCAACTTACTGGGGTTATAGTAGGTGTATTTGCCAGGAATGCTGGTTTTCTGGTATTCTCCTGAAACATGGGTGCAGTCATCCTGTCTAGAGAGAAGGGGAAAGCAATCAGCTGCTTGGAGTGGTATCTTTTCCTATTTATTGCATGGAAATTCTGCCTGGGGCACCAAGACTGGCCATGGCACAGGATCTCTGAGATCCTTGCTGCCCACGCCTGCTTTGCTGCCTCCTAATTTTAGGCTGGAGTCCTGGGCAGCTGTGAGATATGGAAGGAAATGGTCTGGCAGGACAGGGACACTAGAAATGTCTCCTTCAGGTTGGACACTGATGGGAAAGAAAAGCAAAGGATGGAAGGAAGCCCCTGAACTTGCCAGGCCATCAGGAGAAAAGCTGATGGCACTGAGTCTGGTAGGAATCRGTCAGTAACCATGCTGGGACTGGGCATATTTTGAGCTCAGTCCAAGCTCATCTCAGTTCTCAGACTCCCGCCAGAGTCTCTCCATGCTCACAACCCCTGGGGGACCCAGCAGCCCCGGATGGGAAAGCTTTGGACATGACCTGAGCACCCACAGCACTGCATACCGGAGCCTKGTGCTGATGGTGCTAATCTGATTGTCACTCAGGCCGGGGCCCAGCACCAGTGTGCCCATGTTGAATTTCTCTTTGTAGTTCTTCATCCATTTGCAAGTTGTGGCAATGGCGATGTCATACCACTTCCCATACATCTGTGAGAAAAAGAAAGGAATGTCTCTGCTGGAACCACTGTCCACCAAGACTGGAGCATCTCCTGTTTTTCTGTAGAATCAAATCACTTCTGGTAAAATAGTATTGTGGTAAAGAAATCAATCAATGGGGTGATGGAGCAGGGTGCTGGGGAGCAAGCACTGGACTTAGGAAGGAATTTAGGAAGCTGCTGGACACCAGGAAGGATTTTCCAAATCCCTGATCACCAATCCCCGCCAGCTTCAGCCAGCTCTCGGCTTGGATCAATGGCAGCATTTGAGAGCTGCTGGCGGCAGTCTTTCAGGAGAGATATCCTTGTCCTTGTCTTTCAGGACAAGCTTCCTGGGGCTCTGGTTTTACAACAAAGCTGCTTCCTGAGGACAAAACTCAGGGCAGACTGTGGGTACCTGGCCCTGGAGCAGTRCTGAGGACTGCAGCAAGGTGCTGATGTCTCTCCTCCATGCAGAGGAAAGCAGACAAGTGAGCCACAAAGGCAACACATGAAATGGAAAGTGTGTGGAAATCGAGGGTGCTGATCCAATCAGGGGTGGCCCTGACTGAGGGTGGGCTGGGTGCCCACCTGTTTCGTACCAAACAGTCAGGGAAGCGAAGGCTGTAACTGGAGCCCTATGTGTGGTGGGTGCTCAGTACAGGATCACCTTTCTCCTGCTCTCCCAGGGGCCCATTCCTGCACCYGGGCTGGTACTGCAGCTTCTTGCATGGGAGTTCGAGAAGTCTCAGGTAGCAGGGGATGGAGCTGAATGGGGGGTCCCAAGTCCCAGGGGGTGCTTAGCCATACGCAGGGTAACATTCGACAGGTATCCCATGTCCTCCGATAGAGAGCCACATCCATGTRCTTGTGTGGGCTGTGCGGAGCTCCATGGCAGCAGATAGAGGTGCCTGTGAGCGATCTCCCAGGTCCCATCCCACCCAGTCTACATCCCCTATACTAGGTCTGTSAGCAGGTCCTTCACTTATGTCTTAGGCTGGGCAGATCAACAAGCATCTCATGGCATTCATCTGCCTCAGCCACTTGGACTCCAGCTGCCCTGCTGGGGTATTCGCCGGGGCAAGGCACAGTACAACGTTACACAGGCCTCCATGCCAYGAGCTGGCTCTTTCTCCTGACTAGGGAGGTCCCCTAGTCCCTGGGTTCCCTCCCCAAGGAGGTCTGCACTGCCAGGACCCGTCCCATAAAGCCTGAAATAGATACGAGAAATATTTTCCTCCTACCTTGAGTACAACAAAATGAAGCCTTCACCCATCCCCTCAGCCCCGAAACTAAAGGGACCGCAGGCCGCTGTTACCCGCTCAGCATCAAAGTTCTCCTGCACTTGGATATCCTCCTCCTGGTCCCCAATAGGGTTCCCTCTGGCCGTGACAAAGAGAAGGAGAGAAAGGAGACTCCAAAACATCTTGTCTGGTGACTTCTGAGTGTCCCTCAGTCCTCAGGTGCCAGCCAGGATCCGGACTCTGCGCTGTCCCTGCTGCGCAGGAGTGTGACCTTCAGACCGGCAGCCAGCGGGAGGGGAGCACGGGGACCTATCAGGGAGGTGAGGGGCGGCTCGTGGCCCTGCACAGCCTGACCAGGGCACACGGCAGCCTGGCCCTCAGTGGAGCCCAAGCTTTGCAAAGCATGACTGTGCTGAGCCTGCCCCAGAGTGGCGGAAAGGAGGGCAGGCAAGACTGGGTCTGGCCAGGTCTGCTTTAAATGAAGACGTGGGACCTCTRAAACAAAGCAAACCAGGTAAGCCACAGGGAGCTCCCAAGCCCTGGAGCTCACCCATGTAGATGGACATCCCTTGTGTGGGGACTAGCTTGACCCTGCAGAGAGGAGAAGGACCTTAGAGTCCCCCTGTGCTCATCCAGATTCTGCCTAATGCTGACCAGTCTCTGGAGAGATCAAAAGCCTGAGTGGCTTGTTTGCCTCCTAGGAGAGGAGATGCCCTTCTTGAAATCCTTAATTCAGAGCCTCAAGTATCCTCCTATTGGTAGCCAATGCTCAGGAGAAGGCCGAGTGCCACCCATTCTGCCACCAAGCGTCCCTTGGGGCCTGTCAGAGCAGCCACAGAAGGGCAGGCCCTCTCTCCCCACCAGTGTTTGCCTTTCCAGGATGATTAACTGAAACCAAACAGACAGAGAGAAATAGCAAACAGAGCAAAGACCAAAAGCCCCTCTTCAAGACAGCCCATAACTCAATATTTACAGAGAAAGGTAGAACCAGAGGCCTGCTTGCAGGAGCCTGCTGGACTTTTACCCCTTCTGCCTTCTGCTGGGGACCACCTATGGGCACCTTGTGCAGGGACCTGGCTAGTTCATGGCCTTGGTGGCCTGTCCCAAGCATGGGACCAGGTCCATGGGACCAGGCATCCCAAACCAGGTCCTGGTAGGGTGCACAGCCCCAGCTGCTGTTGTTATCCCTAGGCAGCATCGTGGCACATCTGGGGTGACCTCCAGGAACATGGAAGCCTTTGAGCACTGAGTCACAGCAGAGAGCAAGAGCATGAACTGGCTTTAATGCAGCCTGCATAAACTGCCCGGAGCTTCGTTCTGTTCAAGGAAGCCTGTCTAAGTCCAGAAGCAATCCCGGTTTTGCTGGGTACTCCTCTGGGTGCTGGGCAGACCCAGCAGCCCCCATGTGTCTTGTGATGCTGTCCGCCATGGCCTAGCTGGGGGTTCCTACCAGCTACCTCCATGGGCATGTAGCTACTGGCTTGAGGGTGACAGGGTTGGGGTACCGCCCCAGAAATGAGTCRCTACCCGAAGAGCTGGGAGCTGTGGGAAGCCTGGGGCAGGCCTGATGAACTGGCAGATGGGCCAGTTCCTTGGTTTCCAGGATGCAGAGGGTTAATTTGAGCAGCTACCCTCACTTTGGCCCTTAGCAGTGTCCCTAATGTCCCTAATGGTGCTTTAGCTGGCCATACAGCTCATCAGCTCTCTCCTGTTTTCAAGGAAATGGGGTCTGAACACTGATTTTTGACACTCTCTGCTTTTGGAGGCAGGTCAGTCCCTGCTCACACCTGCTCACCACCAAGTCAGTCCCTGCTCACAAACCACCTAGACCCAACTCCGGAAGAGATGAGAGCACAGAGATTTTGCAGAGGCCTGGACAGAGTGGGTAAGAGCTGTGTCTGCGTGTGGGCAGGTTGCAAGAGAGTTATCCCTGTCTTGCCTAGTCCCTGAGCTTGCCGGAGTGCCAGGCAGCCTTCCTGTCCCTGTCCTTGTTCCCTTCCCTTTGACGCTAGATGGCAGCCCGAGGTAAGGAATGACCTGGGTGGCTCTTTCCGCTCCACTCGAGCAGAAAACCCTCCAACACAGGCACATGGAGTAAGAGCAGGCAAATGGGGCAGAATAACCTCCCCACTTTSACCACCACTTGCACTTACACCGGGGTGTCTCTTTATCCACCACCGTGGTTGGGGCCACCACCACCCCAGCATGGCAGGGTCCTGGCACGCTTAGGGGTTCTAGGGTACTGGCAGTAACAGGCAGCACATCCCAGTGCTTTGCAAAGAATTTGCTTGCAGATATCACCATGTTCTGTTCACCTGGGGGATGGAGACCTGTTCTTCCCCTTGCTAGGGATCGAGTGCTCTGGCATTTRGGCATCCTTCCTGTGGCTGCTGCTTGGCTCCTCTCCTGCCACTGGTGGGAGGAAAGGAAGAAAAGGAGGAGGAAAGGAAGAAAGTTCATTYCCAGAGGAAAGTTTAGGAAGCTGTGGGCCTGTGACACATCCAAGCCATTTCTGTTCTCTTTTGTACACATGAATGTAGTGTCCTGCCCGTGACCATGGTCTCTTGGGCTCACCAGAGCACAGGGATGCACTGATGGATTGTGTGTGGCATGGCCCTCCAGGGCAGGTGACTGCTGGGACCCAGATGTACACAGGTCCCTTGGCTCATGGCATCCACTGCAGCTGTGTCCCGCACGGCCTCCTGGAGAAGCCTCAGGCTAGTAAGTGGCATGTTCATGGCACAGAGGAGCTGACTCCTGCTCCTTAGAGAACAATGATCTGCTGATTTTGTAGACTGACTGGCAAGCAAATAGAGGCAGCAGTGATCTTGAAGAGCTGTGGTGTGCAAAGGACTTTCTAGTTTGCAGAAATTTTAGAAAACATTTTAGTTTCAAATCTATCCGGACAGAAACAAAATGCAAGGAAAAAAATTCATAGAACTTCCACAGACCAATCTCCCAACTTCCCCCCAGCTCTGAGAGGTGCTGGCAACCAGCAGCACCAGAACCTGCATCAGAATCTGGGGAACTGCAAAGCTCAGGTGACCCAGTTGTGAGCACGACGTTACGTCTACACATTTCTATCCTACCAGCCCTACAACCTATCCTCTGGAAATATCTACTCACCTGTTATGTTTAGGCTTGGAAAATATGTCTTGGATCATGACCATACCCTTCATCCTTCACTGTGTCAGATTCCCAYCTGGTCCCACATGGCAAATCCTACGGTGTCCTGGAGCCTTTGCCAGGCTCTCTAGAGAGGAAGCCCAAATGAGCATCCTTCTTTGGCTGCAGTGGTTTCTGTGTTATTTTATGTGATTTTTGCCACAGAGGATTTCCCAATCTGTACATGTGAGTGATGGCCAAAGATCTGAGGRCTGAGTCCTCTTCTACTCCCCAGCAACCCAGGTTAGAGGAGACATCCTTGCCTAGGTCTTTCAGTGTCCATTTATGAATTTGTTGTCCATGACTTTGTCCAGTCTCTTCTGGAACCTGCTGATGCTCTCTGGCTCCTCCACCCTCTATGGCAGAAGCTCTGGAAGTTCAAAGAAGTTTTATTTTCTATTTGTTTTAAACCCGTCTGCTTCTAGTGCTTCTTATACCTTGGACTACCAGAGTATTACARTTTCACCTTCAGCTTGTTCACTGTCTTCGAGATTTTGCAACCTTCAGTCATATCTGCCTTTGGCCTTCTCTCTGTTCTCTGAAAGTATCAGTTCAGTGATGTCTCCAAGCTCTCCCCATGGATTTCACACTTGTCCTGAGCACTGTGCTAATGCCTCTCTCAAACCCCTTCTGCCTGGAAGCCTCACTTTCATCCCTCTATGCTGAAGTTCACCTGCTGCTATCCATTTGCCCCTCAGCTTTGTGAGGTCCTTCTGAGATTCTGGCTACTCAAAAGAGCTCATCGTTTGTGAACTTGAAGAGTTCCCTGTTCAACCCCATCTTTGGAGGGTGCACAAAAATGTCAAATGTAAAACCAGTCCCAGCACATGTTCCTGGAGGACCCCACTGAAGATGGTCCTCCATCCTGAAGTATGACATACTACTTCTAGTCCTTCAACCAGTTTTCAGTTCACAAAAGAGCCCTCTTCTGTTCTCACTATAACTTAGTTTCTTTAATAACCAAGTTCATTGTGTCCTCTGGGCCATCTCTCTTTGAGACAAGATCTCCCTTTGCAGGATCCCTGACAGCTTCTCCGCAGGATAAGTGAGAGTCTCATCAGCCCTACTCTTGTAGGACCTGCTGCCTCTCCTGGATATAGCAGTGAGASTCTCCTCCTATAGCAGCTTTAACTCCAGTCATTCCTTCCCCATAGCTGGAAGYTTTGCTGCCCGCCAGCCTGCTCCCCAGTGTAATGGGAGGTACCCCTCTGTAGCCAGCAACTCTGCAGCTTTGCTCTTCAGTTCTGCAGGATGTGAATGATCACTACATTGGCCTGGGATGTGCTGAGGGCTTCCTCTGTCTTTATGTCAGATCGATCCGGCTGCTCTGAACAACCTGCAATGACAACTGTGCCARCCTTGGGAATCTCTCCTCCATCTACGGCAATAAACTCCAACAGGAAAAACACTGAGCTTCTCTCCGCAGCCTTATCATCTCTGAAGGCTCTTTTACATCCTGGACGTCCCACACATCCCCTAATCTTTCTGCTTTTGATGGCTTAAAGTGCTTTAACCAGCCATAGGATCCTTTGCAGGGTTTGCTGAACATTCATTTTTAGTTTTTAATATGCTGATTATAGTTGATCTGATATGTTTTCTGAGCTTTCCTGTCTCATCTAGGAAGGMTTTCCCTTTCTGAAACATGGATCTTTTCTGGAATACTTCCCTTTAATTCTGAGACACGAGAAGAGCATCCAAATCACTTTATTTGCTTATTGAATTGTGACAAACATTTTATCACAGCTTCTAATGAACTATTTAACAGTCTTCAGGCTATGTTTAAGAACTGTGGCAAGGAGGTTGATAGGTTGCCCCATTCTTAATTTGTTCCCTTTCCAGAAATCGTTACACCCGGGATGTGCCRGGATGCCTGGCCCTCTCTATATCACTGCTAAATCTTGTGATACTATAATTTTTAGTAGCAGTTTCTCTCAATACTTTTTCAGGTCCCAAGCAGTCAAGATAGAACCCAGAACAATCCCTTTACTTGTGGGTTCCAAACTCCACTGTCCAAGCTTCATTTTCTGCAGCCATAAGTTGTATCTCTGCATCTTGCCCTGGAGAAGTGTTCACTCTGCCTGGACATGTGAAAGCATTTGCAAGTTGTGCCCTCACTCCTGGCAATGTCAAGGGTCAGTGCTCGGTTTTGCCTCCTGTCCTTCTCCGCATGCTCTGAATGCCAGTGCCCTGTTTGTCTCCCACATGTGACAACGTTCCCGTTTCAGTCTGCCCGGGATGTCTGCATCTCAGTTTGCATTTGATCAGGTCTGGTCAAATTATGGTTTTAAAACATTTACTGTTATGGTCTTAAAACAACAGGTACCTGAAGGGGAGCGGAGGCTGCAGGCAGCACCGAGCGTGGGCTGCGGCTCGGGGTGCTGTGCCTCCTGCGGCCTCTCTACACACGGGCAGCTGAGGCTGCTTGTGCTCCACATTTTCATGGCCACACTACACAGACCGGCCTCTCCTCCACCTCCCTGCTCACTAGGTCCTCTGTAGCCTCCAGTCTCTGCTCCCAGCCCAGTGCTTTGGAGATCAGTCATTCTGACCACGGCCACAGGGAGGACTTGGAGGCAGATCACCAACTTCTTATGTGAGTGTGCACACCCTGCATCACTGGTCCTGGGAGAGGATGTGGAGCTGCTCAGGAGAGGTGGATTTGGGCTCCCTGCAGCCCTCCCTGTCCTGCCACAGTAGCCCCAGCCATACAGATGGCTCCTCCACTGGGCCGGGTCGCAGCCTCCACCCTCACGTGCGGCTGCTTTTTGTGTCCCTTCTCACTGCGTGTCGGCCTCACCCCGTCCGTCCCCTCCCCTCCGCCTGCGCCCCCCTTGCACAGCCCCCACCAAAGCCAGCCACACACACAAGTGAACTTTTCTGCGTTTTCCAGCAATTAAAAAGAATAAAGCAACAGTTGTCTCCAGGCAGGGCATGGATCCTGGTGACCCTGATTTTCTGTGTGGCTGGGCAGGGTGAATGGGGCTATTGAGACCCTGATGACTGGCATCTCCACTCCAGGATTGTCTCCCCTTCCAAGTCCCCCTCCCAGCACTCTCCTCCTCTCTACCCTCCTCCCTGCTTTTAATTTCCTTCCTGGAGAGAACTGCTCATCCCCTTCCCATTGGCCAAAGGGCTGAAAGGGAATGGAGGAGACAAGGGAAGGATTAAAGACACTCTGCTTAGGAGCAGGCAGCCTGAATACAAGATGCACCGGCTGGGAAAGAATGGAGGCTTAGTGGGGCACCAGATCAGACCCGCCTCCGCCGCATTCAGCACGACCTGCATTCCTGCATTGCTAAGCAGGGCCGTTTCTCCCCAGAGCCARTGCCCAGAGGTCTGGCACTGTGTCCCACTGCACCTGCCCTCACAGGTAGGTCTGGCCAGGAAGGAGGGTGTGGAGATCCCACTGTGCTGCTGTACATTGGGGTGGGGGAAAGAAGCACTGAGCACTTGTGAACCGACATTCCCTTGCATGGGCCAGCCCAGCCCTGGCCACTGCACTTCCCATGCAAGAGTGAGGAGGTAGCTGGAAGCCTGTGTCTGCTCTGCAACTCTCCGAAAGTGCTGCAGGGAGATTGGCATTCCCAGGAGGTGACAGATCTGGCCCTCAACCTAGCAGACCTATTGGCCTGATTTTCATAAAGACGAAGGGCAAGGCATAAGTTTACAGCAAGCATYATTGTTTCAGTGCTCAAAGGAAGGTGGCAGGTTAGACTTGCA